CCCAGATTGGATTTACTATGTAATTGATTATAGCAAGTATAAAAAGTAATGTATTGCCCTCTTATCATGTTGAGTGTAAATATATACCATATTTCACGAAAATCGATAAACTAACCGTTTTATTTAATTTCATAGTAAAAAAATGTTTACGAACCCCCTTGCTTGCTACGCAACTGCAATTGTACATCGCGCAGTAATATTATTATTTATAGATGCGTCTTGTTTTGCACGCGATATTCGGCGCTACATTGTGACGTCATGTAAACAACTCTTTAAATGTCTGTACAGCGTTAATGACTGAATTAAAGATATTGGTGTTCGGATTTATTTTCTTAGTTAGACCATTATCTATCATTCTAGATAGTTTTCAAAACAAAATATCTCCGGGGATCGAACCCACGCCAGAGAGGCAACTAGATTAGAAGTCATCTACTCTAACCCCTCGACCACGGAGGCGGCCACAAAAGTAACGTCTTTGCAACCGTATGCAGCTACTAATTTTTTTCAGTTCGGTTAAATAAAAAATTTATTGGCCAGTTAATTTACCGCATTGGAAATCTTGACAGGTATCCGCCATTTATTGCACAATTCTGCGTTACTTATTGCACAAATCGTGCGTTAATTTCACATTCCGGCGTTACTGGATATACACGGTGATATAAGTCGTCATCAAAACAGCAATAGCACAGTCCATTTAGTGATTGTATTATATAAAAGAGGTCTATGGTGCGAGGCTTACTGTTATATATCTTCTCTTTCTTTATTTTTGCAGTATATTTAAATAGATAATGGCCGACTGTTTGCACAAATGTAAACACGATGTGAAGCAAGTCAGATACACTGTTTTGTCTCGTTTTGATTAAATTTTATTGTATTATACGTATATTGTTTTTAATCCTACTTAAATTATTATTTAACGATGTTATTGTCAATATTACAACACGCAGAACATGTATATATAAAACAAACCTTTAGTTTTCCCTATTACGCTAAAACGCTCAGTATAACTATTTAACAGAAACAAATAAATTTAAACACATGTTATAGGGTACACGTCACGAGCGTTCTGAGAAGTATATATTGTATGCTTTGACCTATAACAAGTATGGAATTGACCGGTTTGAATAACAGCCGTTAAATTCCGAATGCGAAAAATAATAATATGGAGAAATCAGGATTAATTACTTTCTGTTTCGATTTATAATTTTCCCTTCTAATTTCTACGTCATGACAACGATTTGTTTACTTATATTTCAATGTAACATTTATATAAATATCACGGTTCAAACATGTTAAACATATATCAAATATCGTTCTTTGGTGTTTGTTCATGCAATGAACTATAAAAGAAATATTTTCTTCATAGCTTGTCTCTAACCCCCCCCCCGCAATTATTACTGTCCAGACTCTTCCTAAGAATGAAAAAATCGCTAACAAGGCCACATCGCTTTGAAATAGTGACCTATGAAGAAAATATCAGTGTTTTATGAAAAAAATAAAATGACCAAAAATGTGATCGACACATGCAATCTTTTTTTCCGTGCATATAAAATATTGTAAATCAGTTTTTGTGTTTTAATTTTCCACAAGTTTTTTATTAACTAGTTAGTATGTCAAGTATATATAAGGTTTGACTTTTAGATTATCAACATTCCGACAAAATAGATCACACTGTTGAGATCTTAACGTGTAAGTCCCAAAACTATAACTTCCCGAACCGTGAAAATGTGTCCATTCCTAAACTATGGTGCCGAAGATATAGAGTTGAACATTATGTGCATAATACGGATACTTATTGCCATTTTGAAGTTATACATTTACATTATCAAATATATTTCGTATGTTTTGATTACATTAATGAAGAAGGAAAATGTTTATTTTCAAGCATACAATGTATTAAATATAACGATGGAAAAAAAACGTTTTTATATAGAGGATATTGGATGAGTGTTAGTTCAATACTGAATTTATTGCACGAGTTGAATAAAATTATATTATGCGAGCCTTTGGCGAGCATAATATTATTTTATTCAACGAATGCAATAAATTCAGTAATGAACTTACACGAATTTAATATTCTATTTATCACATACCCAAAATAAAAACCGTTTAAAGTGAAACTTGACTCATCTTTCATTGACGCACACACAAAGTTTAACTGCTAACAATCCCCGGCCCCTTTAAAACTATGAAAAACCCATTTAAACGGGTTAAATTTTAATTCACAAACAAAAAAATGCACGCCGTGCAATACCATATTTACGTAGTCGCAAAATCGGCACGGGTGTGTGATAAATGAATTTATGCAATTGTAAAAACAGATTTTACCTACTGTTATGCATTGTTAAAGTTAAACATATCATCTGAATACAGTGCTACATATATATCTACTTCTTATTCGCCGTATGCATTATCTGATCCAAACCATGCAAAATTAAAGTTATTAAACAGCTCAGCATTTTATATATTATATAGAAAAATTGTCACTGATTTACTTTTTTCTGCTGTCTCTTCAGAATTTCAAGGCGACTTGATTAAATTCTACAGAAAAAGTTGTAGTTCAATACCTCTCTCACCGCTTCTTGAAGAAATAGAGACACCTCTAGCTGGGTTCTACGTGATGCCAGATTTAGTCGCTGTAGAACAGAAGTCCCTAACTTGTCATGAAGAGGAAAGAACACCGATAAAGTCTTTGAAAGACCTGTTTTCAACCGGAAGTGGGAGATCAGCAAGAAATTTATCTATCAGCTGATGCAGGCTGTGGGAAAAACTGGATTTCTTCGAAATATCTTGCAATCACGTTGGTGTCAAGTCATTGTCACGATGAAAAACTACGCCTGTTTTAAAGATGATGAGTTTAAAATCATTATCTGACTTTAAAGCGTTCTTTATTTTTTGGTTTATTAAGATCACTGTACCCTCTGTTTGCAACATTGAACGATATGATCGAACACAAATTACCAGAGAAACTTTTCGTTCCTCTGGATCACTAGTTTGAGTTTTAACCCTAGAGAAAAAAGTTTGTTTATTTGGACGTTTCTTGGATGGGAATGGACCTCACCCCCTGATTAATAGGGTTTTGGGAAAATTTTTAACAAAGAAAAATCCCCACATCGGGGACGTTTACTGATAATTTTTATCTTTTCCGGAAAAACCCCGACCGTGGAAGCCTTGGGGGTGGCAAAATCTCAAAAAAGTGAAAATTTAAACCCCAAAGAAAAATTTGGGGTCAAATTTAAATTTTCAAAATTTTCCTTTTCGGGGGAAACTTGAAGAAATGCATTTAAGGGGAAAATGACCAGTGTCCCATTTTACGATAGAGGGAAATGAAAGTAAAACACCCGGATTTTATAAAGTGATAAATTTTACCGTCGCTTTTTGAGACCCTGCAAGTTTTAAAACCACTCCTCCTCATGTTTTTAGTTTTTTTCCAAAATGTAACAACAAATTCCTATTAAGGGAAAATTTAAACATTGGGAAAAACACCATTTAAAAGAATTTCTATTATTTAAGAACCTCAAAGAAACACCCGAAGTTTTTTGCCAAAAAGTGAATTTGCTGCCCCGTGAAATTCCGAATAATTTCAAAAGGGGCTTTATAATTCCTTTTAAAATTTTTACAGTCTTATAACCCTCATTAGCAGAAAATAACTTTTCCAAAAAAATTTTTCACGAAAACAGGAAAAACATTTTCCCGGTTTTTAATTTTAAACGGTTTCTGAAAAATTCTCAAAGCAAAACGAAAAATGAAATTAAGTTTTCTCTCAAGGAATATGGGCAAAATATGAAGTAAAAAATTTAAATGAAAGAAATAATAAGTTTAATTCGGGGTTTCTTTCCCCAAACAAATGCAAGGGTTTTTTTGCCGGGCCAAAATTTTAATTTAAAAATTCTCAAAAAATGGGCGCTTTAGAAAAATTTTCTAGAAAAATGAAAAATGTTCAAAACATTTCGGAAAATTCAAAAAAATTTTTTGGGAAATTTTTTAAGTTTGGGAAGAATGCTTTTTGGGGCCCATTTTGGGGCAATAATTTGAATTTATTTTATGCTGTGAATTTAAAATTTAAGAAAAGAGCCCCAAACTTCCCCAAATAAAAAGAACTAGGAAAAAGAAAAGCAAATTGGCAACAAACCCCCCATGGTTTTAAAATACAGAAAAAAGTTCATGTCGTGTTTTTTCCCCAAAAATTGCCTTTAAAGGAAAAAAATTTTAAATTAAAGGTTTAAAAAGGGTTTTTTCAATTGACAAGTACAAAAAAAAACCTGCCAAAATTGAAACCCGGTACCCGTTTTTGGTAAAACAAAAAACCCAAAATAAACAAAATATTTCCCCTTTTTAAAAATACTCGTCACTAATTTCCAGAGCTTTAAGTGAAAAATTTTTTGGGTTTTAAATTTTCTTTTCAAAGGGCCTCAACCTCACTATTTAAAACTTTTCCACTCCTGTGACAGGTGGGGGAAGGGAGGTCAATAAGTGCGGAAAATTGGGGTTTCCCCGAATTTTAAAAGTATCTTTTGGGGCGGGGTTTTTAAATTTGGAACAAAATATGAAGAAAATCTGAGTGAAAAACATGGGGGCCCATGTCAAAACCAAAAAATTTTAAAAATTTGTACATCACGTTTTTTTTTCACAAAAAATACCCGGAAAATTTTCAAATTTTTTTCCCCGGGCAAAAATCAATGAAAAATTAAAAAATTTTGGGGGGTTAGACGGTAAAAAAAACCATGGGCGGGGGCCATTTGTAAGAGATGGAAATTGGGTACTTGTTTCCAGGCCTTCAAAATCATCAGAGTTTTCACTTTTCGGGGAATTCCTGGGGGGGCTACAAATTAAAAATATCAAAAAAACCGTCGTTAGTTTAATTTTTTTAAAGGTTTGGGGGGGGGGAGGGAATTTCCCCAAAAATCTTTTAAGGAAAATTGGGAAAAATGTTTCAATTTTTTACCTTTTGGCCAAAAAAAGGGAAAAGTGAAAATTTTTTTAAAATGTGGTGTTTGAGCTTTATAGAAATGTCTGCAGGAAGTTTACAGAACTTTATGACCGTGCTGCAAAATCTGCCGCAGTCAGTAACAGTAAAGATTAGAAACATTAAACCGGAAAGAGAATATGACCATGTTAGAGAAAATATTCGGAGATCACAGAATTTTCATGTTATACAAGACGGCAGCAGGGGGCAGTCATTTGAGTTCAAAACAATAAAACCAAGCAAAGAATAGACAAGAAAAAACATTGTGAAATGAAATGAAGAAGTTACTTCAACAATTTTAAATAAACAAAACAATTTAAATATGGACATTTAGAAACAAAATGGCGGTTCTTCGAACGACATTATAGTCTTCAATTAGGACATACATGTAATTTTCGTTTCCAATTAAAACATTAATTGACAATTGATTATAGATTTTAAAAAATAACTGATATAAATAATTCGTGGAAGGTCTTTTACAAGTTTTTTACGGAACTTAATGGATATATAAGTTGGACAAGGATGTGGAAATATTTCACAGGTAAGTGATTTTATATTGAATGTTTAATGTATAATTATTATTTTATTATACATGCATATGTAGGAACTGAAATAGATTATTCACAGTGAAAACGATTCTTATATTTTCTTTTAATCAAATAAAATATTTGATATAAATAAATCAACATTAATTAAATATTTTAAATGATTTGTTTTTATTCTGGAATAAGATTATTTTTGTAATAAAAATGAAGCATTTTATAAACATAGGCTATAAACAGATACACAATACATGGCACGTGTTTATTAAATGGCACGTCACCACCTTTACATTAAACATAGTTTGAACCAGCGCATACATGTATATAGTTATAAATCAATGTAGATTAAAGTGAATATAATGTTAAACGTTTCTTAATTTTTACTCCGGAAAGGTTATTTGTTTATTGTTTTAGTAAGATGTTATTGTTATGTCATATATTTAAGATAAAGTATATTTATCCTCTTAATGTGAACCAAGGTGTTCAATTACAGCCCTGGGGTCTAAATGTGGCCTGCCAGGGAGGTCAGTGAGTTTTTTTTTTTTTTTTTTTTTTTTTTTTTTTTTTTTTTTTTTGGGGGGGGTGTTAATAGATATAACTGTAAACATCTTCTTTAAAAACACAAGGGATAATGCTTTCGCATTTGGTATGAAAACATTATCTAGTGTACCTCTATAAAGTATATATAAGCATAGCCCTGGCGTAAAAAAGGCTGCAGCTCCATGGGGGATTGGGTAATGGCTCATAGGTTTTTCCATATATTTTGCAATAGAAACTAGTGACTTCCATACTAGTCATTGTATTTCTTTGCAACCTGTAATTTCCATGGTTATCCCTTGTAAAGTTACCCGTGACTTTCATAGCAACCATCGACATTGCATAGCAACAATAGTATACAACAAGATACCTTTTGACTTTTCATAGCAACCATTGTTTTTCCATAGCAACCTATGGCTTCCACAGAAGGCATTTACTTTTGACTTTGCAACCAGTGAATTCCAAAGCAACCATTGAATGTGTGCACTATTTCAGATGCAGAAATAAACTTTGTAATCTTATCAGCTTAAGATTTGTATTTTTTCTGCTTTTCATTATAAATCAACTGTTCTTGTCATTAAGAGCTTTTATAATCATAATTAAATGAGCAATATAAGAACAATCATGGACTTTTACTACATGTAGATATAAATTAGTCAAAGAATGTTTTGCATAAATCCCCTATTAATAATATTATTTGCGTTTTTTATCATTTCAGCGGCATTGGAACAAATTTTCAAATTATTTATGATGCAGAACCTCTTGTGACGTTTACCATTATGATTTGTGTGGTGATAGATCAATTTTATTGGGATGATGGGATATGTTTTGAACAACTTCTTTGGAAACTGAAGTTTCATGTTTCTTGCAAGGTAAAACTTTAAATTACCTTTTACAGGTCAATAAAATCCAAAATAAAGATTAAAAAGTCAATTCGGAAATGATCTCAATGAAAGTATGCAAAATGTGACTATTTCGTGAATGAACGTTTCAACTTTTATCCGGGTGCCTGGATCGCAGTATTTAAGACGTGCTGAACGATATTGAAAAATGTTATTTACTGACTTTTGTATTCAATATAATTGTATTTAAGTACTAAAACAAAAGAAAAATATAAACTTTTTCTTTAAGTATCAGTTTTGATTCATGTCAACAAAGATGTTCTAAATATAGTAAATGACTCTAGGAGTTTAGCTCAATACAGGACTGGAGCAGTACCTCTATAGAAGCTTGCAGAAATTGTGATCGCAAAATAGACACTATCTTTTTCCGCCGATTCTTAAATTTTTTCATTCATTATCATACTTATATGAATTAGACGTTTTAAAGTTCACCTTTTGCATGAAACGGCAAGATTTTTGCATTCAATCGCATTGTCCGGTATATACCGGATTACGGTATTTATTGTGGCGCTTCATAGTTAAATAGGCAATTTTAATGGTAATTTTCATGTTAAAAGAAGATATTAAATAATAGTGTTGGTGCAAAATGCACAAGAATTAATTTGGACAAGGGCAATTGCAAATGAAAAGGTTAAATCAACGTATGTTAATCTGGTTATGTTTCATAACTGGTCTGATGCTGCATCTAATGAAAAACAAAAATATTAAAAAGCGGCTGAATTATGTATAGGTTAAGGTTTATAAGTACGTATTTACAAATTTAAATTGGTCTGGCGCGGCGCAGCCGTGCGACCAATTTAAGTTTGTAAATACGTACTTATAAATTTTAACCGACTTAATTTTTTTTTAATTATTTTTCTAAGCAGTGGATTATTTAAACTAATTAACAGTTTGCCGATTAACCAAAGTAAATGTGTTACGATTCATTTGAAATACTGCAATTCTATTGTACAAACATAATTTCGAAAACTAAAGATTCTTGGAATCCAGAACTTGTTGAAAAAAATTAGAGTTGTCATATTATTTACGAAACTTTGGTTGTTCTACAGTACGCTCAGCGCGGCTTTTTCAAAACCCGCGTGACCCCGCGGATGAGGTTTACTGCGGACGAAAATTTGCTCAGATATTGTCCGCGTGACCCCGCGGACAGAAAATTTTCACCACCGCGGACATAAATCGGCGGCTGAAACCGTTTCCCCCGCGGAACGCAGTGGTAAATTGCGGAGGAACGCGGCGGTCAAACACCGGTCAACGCGGTGGAAACCTTAAATTTTAAAAAATAATTACTGTATTTAAACATCAGTATATGTACGTACATGTACTGTTACATGTACTGTACATATACATGTAACTATATGTAAAATTTGTTTGTTTTCTTTCTTTTTTGTTGTAATAAAAGTACATGTACAAATGCAGTGCTTTTCTTGTTCTTCTTCTTGTTATTGTGTTGGGTAATGTTTAATATGCATTAATATGCATTCGACATCAAGATAAATCATTGTCGTCGCAACTTCATGGTAATGAGAAAAAAATATTAAAAACAACAACAAAAACAGGTACAGCTGTAATTATTTTTATTTCAAAGTCCGTTCAAATAATTTAACGTATAATAACATTTAATGAGACGATTGTGGTCAATTTTCAAGTCATTGTGTAAAAAAGATGACGTTAAAAAATAATAAAACGTCTATTATTTTTGCAGGTTTATTTATACTGACCAACTGACCATGGCGTTCCCCCGCGGGAAACGGTGACTTATTTTATCGATAAATGAAGAACGGTCGTCAGAATTTTGTTCGCGGTGGAAACAACTGAACACCGGGGATCGCGGGGAAATTAGGCTTCTCATCGCGGACGAACCCCCGCGTTTGTCCGCGATAAAAAAAATCGTCTGCGGTGGTATCGCGGAAAAAGCAAAACCCGCGGTGAGCGTACTGTACATAAAGTAACGTGAATGTCTACTCGAATCTAAATCACTCACATGAACTTCATCTGGCTGACAGAAGGTCCGTGGTTCTATCTGGATATCGGCTCCTGCTTTAATACAGTTATTCAATTAAATATGCTAACGGAAGGTCCGTGTTTTATCCGGATAACAGCTCCTGCTTTAATACAGTTATTCAATTAAATATGCTGACGGAAGATCCGTGTTCTATCTGGATATCAGCTCCTGCTTTAATACAGTTATTCAATTAAATATTTTAACGGAAGGTCCGTGTTCTATCTGGATATCAGCTCCTGCTTTAATACAGTTATTCAATTAAATGTGCTAACGGAACCTCCGTGTTTATCCGAATAACAGCACACAGTTTAGTTTGCTGACGGAAAACCCGTAGTTCTACTCGCACACCAGTTTGTCTCTAAAAAAATCATTTCAGTTGGCTTACGGGAGGTCTGTGGTTCTACTCTAAGTAATCTAAGTCAGCAGAAGGTATGTTTATTTGCTCTGGCAATCCGCTCGTGCCAAAATCTTAACACGAGATATCCTGTGTTGGTTTCTCTACATAGTCAAAACAGAAGATATATCGTCAATGTTACTTGGAAAATATAAAAACAAGTTTAGAATAAAATCTATGCTATCTATACTGTTACACAATGTTTTGACTAACTCATTTATCATGTCTTCTTCTTTTTCCAGAAAAGGAGCTTCAGCAAAACTACAGTGACAATGATAACAACGCTTCAATCACGACTTGACATCTGGTTCCTGGCATTACAGAAACAAACACGAAAGAAAATTGCTCCAAGATAGTTTCGTACAATCTACTGATTCTTGGCTTAACCAGAAACGGACTAGCAAACTTTTGCATTGATTAAAACATTTACTTTTTTCTTCAAGGGGAATTTACCTGTAAAAAGATATCACCACCAAGACTGCTGTCAAATATATCCCTGAGTTCCTTCAAAATATGTTTCGTGAATTATGGTCATACCGTAGAAAATTAAATCAAAATTCAGGGTGGAAACCTTTATTGATTTTAGAACATCTTATTGAAATAATTATATTGTTTTATCAAATATGGGACATAAAGTATAGAGGGATAAGCAACTACCGACTGGATAAACTGTCTTATGTTGGCGTCCAATTGACAGCCGATCTTCGATATAGTTTTAAAAAAAAACAACATTCGCCATTTGTTCTATACTTTTCTTATTTACGCTTATTACAACGGGCAAAAATATACACGTTTACAACTATCAAAAAGACAAATTAGCAACTGTTTGGTGGAAAAGATAACGTAGCGCTGATCTCCAGTTGCTTGTCCTATTATATTTTGTTCTAGATCCAAGGAAAACGGATGTTACATATGTACTGTATCTTAAGAGCTATTATCATTTTTATTTAATTAGATATGCATGTATAAATTTATTTAGCAATTTAGTATTAAAATGATTCAACAAGAATTATTAGACAAAACCTACATGTAATTTATCATTGGCATTATTGTAAAATCTGACAAAGCATATACTTATAGTCTTATAATTACATGTATTAAAGTTTTGTAATGTAGTTTTATTTTACTCTTTTTTATTGTTTTCTTTTCTTTTTAATTTCTGCGTAAACGATTGCAGTGGTGACATAAAGGAATATTGAAAGTATGTTCCAAAAGTAAATATTACAAATTTGTTCATGTTGTAGTTTGCTTTTTGTGATACCTTTATTTATATGTATAAGTGTATATAACTTAAATGTATATTAATTGTATTATTAGTTATAATGATTTTGCCATGTTACATTCGCGTAGTGTCCGAGTTATACGTTTACAGCTATTTATATAGCCCACATATATACCCTGTCAAAAATCTTTTTAACTTAGTACATTTTGTATACTAGTATAATATTCAAAAACTCCTTATGAGATCCTTGCATTCAAGGAAATACAAATCATCATTTATTCTGCTTAGATGTGTTTATCAGTAGAAGGTTTGTCTGTATATATTAAAGGCCCATTTAGCTCCAAAGAGCTAATTTCTTAACTTTTTATTTTTACTGTCATTTATCCTTAGTAATAGGTTAACTATCTTTTGCTTCTTTCGCAATTTGTTTAATTACATTGATTTAGTATTTTGTATGGAAGTCAACAAAGTTATAGTGATTACATTGTTCTACCTTACAACACATAACTGTACATTCAACTTTAGTTGTTTATGTTGTTTAGCATCTAACATCATGAACATAGACTAGAGAGCTACTCTAATACATTATTAAATATTATTGAACACATGTTTGACCTGTCTAAAAAATAAAGTATAATTTCTATTTTTAAGGCATCATTTGACGTTAAGATTCAAATTTGTACACAATCTCATTTTTTGCAAATCCATTTTCTAATCATTTCTGATGGTTTTGATTAAAGGCCCACTAGGCTTCAGAAATGCTATCTTTTTTTTCCCAACTTTTTATTTATAAGGCATCTTATAACAGTTTCGGAACACATATTCATTTGCTTTATACATGCATTTTCGTTTGTACTTTAAAAATGCTATTTCTTTACCCTAAAAAAAACTTTTTATTTATAAGGCATCTTATAACAGTTTCGGAATACATATTCATTCGCTTTATACATGAATTTTCGTTTGCATCATTAATCTGTTGACAGTTGGTAAAATTATAGTGAATAAGTTATTCGTATGGAAGTCAAAATACTTCTTTACTTACATTTCGTACCCGTAATTAAGACATATTATCACATGTTCCGTATCATTTTCTTTTCAGTTTTAAACATCTCAAATGCAATAGATCTATCATTTAAACATATTTATTAAGGTTCCAATTATTAAACACATATATTACATTTCTAAAGAGTTAAAAAAGTATGGATTTCTGAGGCATAATGTGCCTTTAAGTATATTCAAGTTGATATATATAGAACCTGAAATTATATCCAAAACAAAAAAAAGAACGATTTAAATAAAAATCCCATATTATAAATAGTATTTATAATATGGGATTTTTATTTAAATCGTTCTTTTTTTTGTTTTGGATATTATTTCGGGATCTACAAAGACCGGTCAATAACGGTACAAGTAAAATGGTTTCCTGCGGTGAACATTTTAATGATATATATCAAGATATTTCTTTTAACTATCTTCAACATTATTGGGGGGAAGGGGGGATAAATAATCGTTTGTATCAGGGATAAAGTTGAATTAACGATCAGTATGGAAGAAGGTCTTTGGAAACTGGTGACCGTTGAAGACCAGAGAAGGTCGAGCATAAAACAATTATTTTTTTTAAGAAAATGATTAAATAGGCCTTCATTTTATGAATAATTCCGAGCAAAAAATAAATAAAGTAAACACACAAGTTTACGCACAAAATGTCGAATATTTTAATTTTGTAGATTTTCAGTATAAACTATTTATTGTTTGTAAAGTTTGAGATAGATATTAAAGAAACATTGATAATTTTCAAACATATCATTCAAGTTTTTTTTTCAACTTTAATGGTAAAATAATTATAGAAAATTAGAAATACTTTCAGAACTAGCAGACGACTGGCTATTCATATCAATAGAATTTCGAGTAAAGATAACGGATTGCGTATCTCATGTAAAATGGTCTGATATATGGTAGGTTTAACAGTTGATTAAAATACTTTGAAGTCCAAAGATGTGATGAATTTTATACAGTGACGAAGCTAAGATCCAAAGCTTTCTATTGGTGTAATACATTTTAAAATCAGACATTTAATCACAACAAACTAGCGGTTTAAAAACAGCTTATTTTGTATTGTTTTATCATAAGCGATATCGATTTTACTCGAAGATAAGGGAAGCAACTCGCATTTGTTCAATCGATATACCTCGGTTATTTACGTAGATCATATTGAAAGTGTTTACAGGTAAATCCGTAACGTACCGGCAAACGGTATTTAGCTAGGTTTTCGAAAAGGTCAATTAACCAATCATGTACGGTTTACAGATCACATGCTCCTCCATGTACCGAAAACAGGTCACGTGCTCCTCCATGCCTCAAAAGTTAAACGCGTACCAATACCAATGACGGAATTTATCGCTAGAACGGACAATGGAACCGACGATTGGAGAAGAGCAGTGATAAATTCATTTAACTGGCGTAAACGTTGGATAGTTGATAAGAGTAAGCAGTGTTATAATGTGCTATATTGATTAAAGGTGCTCGGAAGTAAATCCCAGGCGTTTTTATAAATATTCTTTGTAAATGTAGCGTTGGGGGATGTTGTTGCCTTCCTTGTGTTTTTTTTTTATTGTATATATATGGGATTTTTTTTAAATCGTTATTTTTTTGTTTTGGATATAATTTCCGGTTCCTGTGTACATATAAACCAAAATGACGTGACATCACAGTGTTATAACAATTGTGTTATATCGTTTCATTATATGGCTTTATAGAGAATACATGGTTGATGTTGAATTAGGGAAAGTTTAGTCGGTGCGTGAGAAAGTTTATCTAGGCGAACCAAGATTCACTTTTGCAGCGAACTGGATAAACTTATTTTATCCCGACAACAACCATGTTCAGTCATGTCTTCAGTTCATTTTAAAATTTTCATTCTTACTTTTGCTCCCTCTACATGTATTTTTCATTGTCGTTAACTATATGACGTCATCATAGGATAACTATTTGACGTAATGCTTGCATCCGGCCTGATAATATAGACATTTACTGTAGTAAGATAAATTACAATCATGTTCCTATGTGATTAATCTTTTTTATTAGTTTATGTAACTATATGTTTTAATTAATGCACAATATGGTATGTTGTTGTTTTGAATGGTTTTATTAATAATATAAATATGCAAAATGACTATATTCATTTATTGTTTTCTTGAATTGTTTTGTAACAAGAATAACACTAATTTAAAATGTACGTAACAGAAATGTTAGACGTAAAACAGTTGAAGCACCTATTACCTACTATTGTTTACTTTATATTTATACATAGTGTTTCAATTAATTGCACCCTAAATGTAATATGTATGTTTAGTTTATTCGCTTTAATTAAGCAAATAATAAGAGGATATTTTTCGTTTGAGTGAAATATGGAATATATTTTCACGAAACATGATAAAATGCAACATATTTTCAATATCAAAGAAAAATGGTTACGAACCCCCTTGCTTGCTACGCAACTGCAATTGTACAGCGCGCAGTAATATAATAATTGTCTTGTTTTGCACGTGATATTTAGCGGTACATTGTGACGTCACGTAAACAACTTTTTAAACGTCTGTACAGCGTTAATGACTGAATTAAAGATATTGGTGTTCGGATTTATTTTCTTAGTTAGACCGTTTTCTATCATTCTAGATAGTTTTCAAAACAAAATTCTACAAAAAATTGTTTTGAACTCTACAAAAATTTGTTTTGAATTTTCAGATTTTTCAAACAAAATGGCGAAAGAAGTCCGTAAAATAAATATGAGTTTTGACTCCTCCCACTTTCATATTTATATTCCATATTTATTTTTAAAAACTATGAAATATATTTGACTGATATAGCACCATATTTCATGGGTAAAATTAAATAATACATTTTATAAGAGATTTAGACATCTATATCATAATGCATTTTGTTAAAATTTGATTGAAACATTTTGATTACATTTATAAATGACAACTTGTATGTCCTGTGTTTTAGATCACCTAAGTTTACGGTACTCATGGTGAGCTTTTAGCCGTCCGTGGCTTAAAATGATTTCAAACGGCGTTACCTCGGAAACTACTTGATCAAATTATAAAAGCTTTTACTAGGATAGTCTTTGCATTTAGATCTTTCATACTTTTGATATAATGGTTGTATTCATCACATATCTATGTCTCAGATGATAAAATGGTCATTTTGAAAAGTTACAATTACGGAAGAGCACCCCTAGAGTTTAGATATTGTGTTTGTAGCATTTTGTCTAAATCATGCATTGAAGTCGGAATTTATTTATATTTCCATTTTTATAAAATTAAGGGAACAACTTTTAAGATTTTGTCCTTTTAAGGTGACAGCTTAAAGCTAATACATTTTGTTATTTCGGTATTGTCAGTTATTTATTCATAGTACTCAAAAGCGATGGATTTCAGTTGAGCAATGTATTTTTTGTTACTTTTTCTACTTTCGTTTTTCTGTATTAATAGTTCATTATACGAATTTGTATAATTTACAAAGATAAATATTTTGTATTATAATGTATTCCATACACCCCATTATTCTTCAAAAACACAATCATCTTTATTAGTCATTATAACCTCAGCGAAGTTTAAATAGGTCTGTATTCTGGAATGAGCTTGTCCTTACGTTCAATTAGTTAGCCGTTGTCTATTTTTGACTATTCTGAATCTGATAAAGGTAATGTCAAGTGCCCAGGAACCAAAACTCTTTAGATTTTTAGATTGATTGTTTATTGTACATTTTTATTTAGTTTTTGTCCAAAGAATCGGATTTAACATCATAAAAAATAATAAATGAACATATTTTCTTGACAAAGAGTGATGTGTTGAAGATACATAGCTCGCAATTGCATAATGTTAGAGTTACTGATTTTTGCACTTAGTGAATAAAATGATTAGGAAATATAGTGTATAAAACCATACTCTCTTATACTCGTACATGCTTTTATGATGATAGACCTTGTAGATTCTAATTTGTAATGTTTAATTTTTGTTCGCAGCCATTGGTTAAAGTTGCAATGTACTTTATTTCAGAAGTTTAAGTTATTGCCAATTGTAATATATTGTAGTCCATATTTTACTTCTTTTTGCCGGGACACATCACATACACAGTTGATGTTATATACAAGAAACTTTTTGGGAAGATATATTCTATTGAGGTTAATGCAATATTTAAACAACAATAATTCTCTATTGTTTTAATTTGTTTTCATCGCCATTTGTATATAGTTTATACATTTTTGTTTGTCTAGAATATTAGCTTTAGTCGATATCATGTATTAACATAAAACTTCATTATATTATTTTGACAAAATGGTAAATAGGACATAAAGACAGGGCATGTCTTATTTGTAATGATAAAAACTATTTGAAAAAAAAATGTTCACGATATGTATTGGTTTTATTATAAAACAGTTTGCTAGGTAGTTTTGCAAAAGTTGATAAAATGATAGAAAATGACATTTCTTATGTTTATACCTTACTTTTATGTATTTCAGTGACTATTGAAAATACTATAAATAGATTTGACTATCTTATTTCAAGTATTTGAAAATACAAGTACAATGTATAATGATGTAACTGCAATATGTAGGCATTATTTAGTGAAGGGAAATAACTTTGCAAATATTCGTACTGTTGCTATATGTGAACATACTGTCAGAACTGAGTTAGCAATTTATAATATGTTTACAACATATTATTATAGTTTTTGTATTAATGTTAACTATTTATATTATAACATAGTCCATATTTAAGAAAATAAAAGTGTGAAAACTAAATTGATTTTTTTAGTTGTGATTTGTTTCTGTGTCATTGTTAGGTAACCTTCGGGTATAAAAGTCTTCAGCTGTACCTAGCCATCCAGTGTTAGACTCCGTCTTGGGAAATAATCATTATGTGGTACTACCAGTACTAGTTAGTCCAGGAAGTAGATATAACATACTATTGAACTTGTATTTGAGCTCTCAAGATGTAAGGGTGGTCGTTCATTGCAGATGCAAAATGCCAATACTGTAAAGGTTGATTTATTATAAAGGTACAAGTAATGGAGCATAACAACATGGACACATCAGAAATTCATAATTAAGATCTTTTAGAAAGAAGATTCAAAATGAAACGCTGACCGTAACCTAAAATACCTGTAAATAAATTCCATAACTACAATAAAATGCCGCTTGATAGAAGTACCTAGATATATGTATCAAACAATCAGGTCGGCGTCATAATGAAAGTAGAACTTGAATTTGAACTCTCA